AAATTAAAATAAAAAATTCACAATTTTTTATGACACTAACAAATTTAGAAGTCAATATAACCATAGCCGACAGCACCAGCATAGCCACCAGCAGTCCAGCACCAGGATAGTCGCCGGCACGAGGAGTATGTAAAGCTATAGAATAATAGCAGGGAAACCATGTTAAGATGTAAACATATTTATTATAAATATTTTATACTTTAGAATATTATCTTTATATACTTTATATTTTAAAATATTCTCTTTATAAACACGTATATATAGGTCATTGTACATACAACATTATTCAAGAAAATAATAAACATTTTTTTAGATCTTTCTTCTTCATTTCAGTTTTTAACATGGTATTAGAGCTATAAGCTCCTAGTTCTTTTTTTTTCATCTATCATCACTGTTTGGTTTATGAGTTGGTTTTTCACATCTATTCCGGATCTGAAACTTTGTCATTGGGTTCTCTTCTCTTTCTAATTGAATTGTTTATTCTCAGGCACTTTCTAAGAGATTTTTTCAATATTGTGAGTTCTACTGATTCTATGGCGAGTTTTGAAAGAATTGTGACTCATCCTACTGCTGCAATGGTTGCCAAAGAGGTGATAGACCAACATATTGTCAACCCTGAATCTATAAAACAGGTGATATTAAATCTTCTTAATGCTCCTACTGCCTTATCTACTGCTCCAGGTACTAAACCTTGGTATTTTAATTCCGGTTGTTGTAATCACATGTCTTCAACTACTGCTCATTTCTCTTCAATATCATCAAATAATTACTTTCCTGACATTTATTCTGCTAATGGCTCCCCTATGAATGTTAGTTACATTGGCAATATTTCTATAAATTCATTGACTTCACCAAACGCTTTCTTGGTTCCAAAACTTAGTTATAATCTTTTACCTATTGGTTAATTGTGTGATCTTGGTCTTGAAATAACGTTTTCTACTCATGGTTGTCATGTGCAGGACCCATAGACAGGACAACTTCTTGGAACTTGTCACAAGGTGGGGCATCTGTTTAAGCTCAATTATCTACACATTCCTCATCATAAAATGGATACACCATCACTTCCAAATGACTGATTCATCCAAACCCTACTTTGTGCTGTTGAATTAGAGTATTTGCAAATTCCATATCAACAAATATTCCAAGCCTGTGCTACTACTAACATTTCACCTCTTCATTTATGGCACTCACGACTTAGACAAACCTCAATTAGTAAACTTCGTCCTCTTATCTCTCATGGTTTGTTAGGATCTGTTCCGAATGAATCCTTACATTGTGTGTCATGTCAATCTGCAAAACAACCAGCTTTATCTTTTTCTCGTAATCATTCTCTTTCTGTTGCTTCTTTTGATCTCGTGCATTTTGATGTTTGGGGTCTATCTCTGACACTTACCATGGGGGGTTTCAAGTACTTTGTGTTATTTATTGATGATCATACTCCTTTTTTACCTGGATATATCTTATGAAAAATCGCTCTGAATTACCATAAATTTATATTGATTTTGCTACCATGGTCAAAACCCAGTTCTCTAACATTATCAAAGTTTTGAGGACTGACAATACCACTGAGTATCTTAGTACTAAACTTCAATCATTTCTAGAAGAACAGGATACACTAGCACAACAATTTTGTCCTTACACTTCTAAACAGAACAGGTGAGCTGAACGTAAACATAAACAGATCCTTGATTCTGTTTGTGCTTTGCTCATTTCGTCTTCTTATCCAAAGCGATTTTGGGGTGAAGCTACTTTTACAATTGTTTATCTCATTAATTGGATTCCATCAGTAGTCATCAATAATTAGTCTCCATACGAATGTTTACATGGTATTCCTCCTACCTATGATCTTCTTAAGGTTTTTGGTTGTGCTTGTTTTGTTCTTCTTCCACCTCATGAACATAACAAGCTAGAGCCTAAAGCTCAATTATGTTATTTTTTGGGTTATGGGATTACACATAAAGGATATCGTTGTTGGATCCTGTGTCACAAAAACTTCAAGTCTCATGTCATGTTATCTTTTGGGAACACACTATGTTTTCCTCGTTCTCAAACTTCCAGGTGTCATCTTCTAATCAACCTCCATTTTTTAGTAACTCTTCTATTAAGCTATTTCTTAGTGCCTCTAATGCAGATACATTTGACGAGCTCCATGATGCCTCTCCACATGCTCCACCTAGTTCTATAGAAGATGCTTTGCCTATTGGTAATAGGCAAAGCATTAGACAATGGTGAGTCTTCTTCCCTTCCCTCTTCTGTATCACCTATTGGATCTGACCCTATTGAGCCCAAAAATGAGATCCTTAATCCACCTATAAGTCATTTTACTCGAGTAAGAAATCCTCCTAACTATCTTCATGACTGTCATTGTTTTTCTACTATTACCTCCTTACATGAGTCTCAATCCTATCAAGAGACCTCTTCTAACCTTCTTTGGCAACAAGCTATGCAAGATGAATTACAAGCTCTTGAGAAAACTCGTACATGAGATTTAGTTTATCTTCCTGCTGGAAAGCCTCTAGTAGGTTGTAAATGGGTGTATAAGATCAAAACTCGATCTGATGGTTTTGTGGAGCATTACAAGGCTCGTTTGGTTGCTAAAGGATTTACTCAGGCATATGGGATTGATTATGAGGAAACCTTTGCACCTGTTGCTCATCTTACTTCAGTTCGTAGTTTGATTGCTATTGCTGCTGCAAAAGGATGGAAATTGTTTCAGATGAACATGAAAAATGCCTTCCTAAATGGTGATCTTGTAGAGGATGTTTACATGCAACCACCTCCTGGGCTTGAGCATCCTCCAAACAAAGTTTGTCAATTGAAGCGAGCTCTATATGGTTTGAAACAAGCACCTCAAGCTTGGTTTGCCAAGTTTAGCACCACCATCAATGAATTTGGTTTTACTTCTAGTCCTCATGATACTACGTTGTTCATACGCAAGACTAATTATGGTATGGTTCTACTACTCTTTATGTAGATGATATGATCATTACTGGGGATCATATTTTAGATATTCATGATCTTAAGCAATTTCTTAGTCATAAGTTTGAGATGAAAGATCTTGGTGTTTTGAGTTATTTCTTGGGACTTAGGTCACTTCTTCTGATGATGGTTATATTCTCTCTCAAACAAAATATGCCTCTGATCTTATATCTAAAGCTGGACTCACTGACAGTAAGATTGCATCTACTCCTCTTGAGCCAAATGTTCAACTTACATTTATGGATGGTTCTCCATTAGTTGATCCTACTTGCTACAGACAATTGGTTGGAAGTTTGATTTATCTCATTATAACGCAACCAAACATAGCTTATGTAGTTCATGTTATTAGCCAGTTTATGGCTACACCTCGCTCCATTCACTATGCAGCAATAGTTCGCATTATTCACTATATTAAAAGTACCATTTTTCATGGACTTCACTTTTCTACTCATTCATCTCTTGAACTCCGTGCTTACACTGATGTTGATTGGACTAGAGACTCTGATGATCGTAAATCAACCATTGGCTATTATCTTTTTCTTAGTGATTCCTTAATCTCTTGGTGTAGCAAGAAGCAAACAGTTCCATCATGTTCTAACACAGAGGCCGAATATCTAGTACCTGGAGACGCCACATCAAAGTTACTTAACTTACATTGGTTACAAGAAGATACGGGTATTCCTCAACCACCTGCTACTAATCTTTATTGTAACAATCAGAGGGCCATGTAAATTGCTCATAATGATGTCTTCCATGAACACACTAAACACATTGAGGTCGATTATTACTTTATTCACCATTATGTTGCACAAGGAACCATTCATTTGGTTTTCATTGGCTTCGCTGATCAACCAGCAAACCTTTTCACCAAGGCTCATTTTCCTGAACGTTTTCGTACTCTTCTTTTCAAACTCAAGTTGGTTTCATCGCAACCACCTTGAGTTTGAGGGGGAATGTTAAGATGTGAACACATTTGTTATAAATATTTTATACCTTAGAATATTTTCTTCATATACTTTATATCTTAGAATATTCTCTTTGTAAACACTTATATATAGGTCATTGTATATACAGTATTATTCAAGAAAGCAATAAACCTTTCTTCAGAAATTTCTCCTTCTTTTCAGTTTCTAACAAACCAAAACAAAGGAAATGGATATCACCTCGACTTTGTTCGTCTTGCTCAGTATTTTCTTGTTATCAGCAGCACTGATTTTGCCCTGGAGGCAAAGACG